ACTACAGGTAATGCCAGGATTAAAGGATAAAACAGTCTCTTGTTTCTCTAGTGGTATAATGAAAGTAAAATATGTACACAAATATCTCCAATGCAAAGCAGGAAGCAGTAAATGTCAAAGAAATCCACAGATGTGGTGCAATTAAAGTGCTAAGGCAGTAGAGGGTTTCCTGTATAAGGAACCAGAAAGGGTTCTGTAGAGGAAGCGGCATTTCTTAACAACTTCTAGCTTCTGTTAAACGCCCTTCTGCTGACCACTAACCCTCTCCTCAGTACCGCAGGGTAAGAGCTCCCCATGCCAAGAATGCTCACTTTCCTTCCCCTGCTTGGCGAGCAAGTGTTCATCTTGTAAGATCTCATCAAGGGTTACTTCCCTGATCCCCTTTCTCCAATAAATTTGGCCCTCCTTTATTTGGGAGCACATGACTTTGTACCAACGACTCTCTCTCTTGACCTTGTCATTCATGTTAGCTTTCCTGTAGTTTTCACTAGACTGTAATTTCTGTAAGGGCATGGACCATGCTTTGAATTCTTGGTGCCAAGAGATTTAAAATTTTTTGGAATGAATGAACTCTGCTTTTTACAATGAAGAAATCTAAAGAAAAGAGAAAAAAATATCCTGCTCTCAGTGAGCAGAAGGGTGGAAGAAAGGAAGGAGGAAAGAGCTAGTTGTTTGTGATTGCCTGATGCTACGTAATTTGATTTAATTGTCAGGATCCAAAAATTTTTAGCTGGCATTCGTATCCCCTCTTACCCTGTGGATGCTGAGACTGAGAGAAACTAAAAGCCTTGTCTAAAGCCACAGAGCTGTGAAACTGAGTAACTGGGATTTAAGCCCAGGTGGTTTCCTTCACTGCATGATGCTCCCAAATGGAGAAATCCATCGTTGTGATGTTACTAGGCTTTAAAAAAGAAAATAGCCATTTGGACACAGTCTAAAAAGAGTCTTTTCTACGTCCCCACAGGACCACATGGAGTCTGATCTTTTTAAAAATAAAATAAAATAAAATAAAATAAAATAAAATAAAATAAAATAAAATAAAATAAAATAAAATTTGTCTACCTGGAGAACAGGTATCTGATTCCTGAGGGAAGAAAACCAGTATTTCTTTCTGTCTTATTCTGTGCCCTCTTCCTCAATCTCTCCTTCAACCTCTCTCCCTCCACTCTTCTCTCTGATATGGAAGAGTTTAACTTTCTAAAGTGATGACAATAATTGGGTCAAGCCTCTGCTGGGATATTGGTTTATCCCTCAGGAATCTGACCTGAGCTTCAGTTCCTAGGATAACATACAATTTAAATTTTGATTTAAATTTTCTGTATAGTGGGAAATAAGCCAAGCTGAAATTTTGTTTAAAAACTTGTTTTTTCAGGAAAAATCAGAGATAAATGATTTATAAGATAAAATAGACATTATTTATAATTAAGAAAACCTAGAAATAACATCAACGTTCAATAATAGAAGGTTAATAAACTATGGTAACTTATAGGATGCAATATTCTATATTTATTTAAAATGCTTCCAAAGAATATAGAAGACATGGAGTATGGTGGTGATATATTACTAAGACATATATATATCTTAGTACATATGATATGATATGACATACATACGATATATTATTAAGATGTCATCAAAATACAAAAAAAGCAAAATTTTAATTTTATAAAACTAATATATACTTGAATATGGATATATTTGAAAAAATATGAAAAGATTGGAAGATGATACACTAGAACATTAACAATAGCAGTTCTGTTTGATTCTATAGCTGGTGATTCTATAGTTTTCTAATTTTCTACAATTAACATGGAATACTTTTGCAATCAGAAAATAATTCAGGTTTGAGAAATGCTTGTTAAGCAGGTGGAATCTCATTTTGAAATTCTTCCTAGAAAAAAAAAATTGTTTTCACTGCTTCATCCCAACCGTTGTTTCCAGGAAGGAAGTTCTGTCATCCTGAAGCTTGTGTTTATTCACACCTCCTCACTCTTGCTCCTGTCAGTCTGCATTCTAAAAAACATTCTGATACAGTTCAGTGAACCAAAAAGAACGTAAGCTTCAGAATGAGGCAAATCTGAGCTTGAGTCCATCTTTCCATATTTCTTAGCTATGCAATCTTTGGAAAACTGTATATTCTTTGAGTTTCAGCTTCCTCATCTAATGAGAATGGAATGGGACAGCATTTGCAGAACCCACAGAGGTCCTCAGATACAAGGTAATAGTAGTCATCAACACGGTTCATTACTTTCTCTTGCCTCTCCTTCTCTGTACCCATCCAAATTTACTCATCCTTAAGGTCTGACTCACATTTTAGTTCCTCTACAAAGTCTTCCATGACTCTCTCTGCCAAATTATGAAGTCTGCAATTTTTAAGAACGTTTTCTGTAGAACTCACTTAGCGCTCATACATAGCTTCATAAATTTAGTGAGTCTATTGGTATGTCCCCGACTAAAACGGACAGACGCACATCATCCATCTCCTTTATTTATTATAAGCTTTTAATCAGCAGCTAATGATGGGGAGTTGAATCTTTCGCAGATGAGTTTTGAATATTAAAGTACATTTTTGAATCAGAATATAGAGAAGTAAAAACTAAAGTCTGCAATCACGTTCCCTCTTCATTCACCTACAGCAGGCTGAAAATCTATCAGTGGCCTGTGTGTGGTACTGGTGACTAGATCTGAATTATCAAGATAGAAGGTCACCATCCCAAGAGACAGGACTGCTCAAAAAGCCCTGGAATAGTCCTGATTCTTGTCAGACTGTGGAAAAGTGCTAAGAACATAAATTGGTGAGTACATTTGATAAGGTAAAGCAAAGTGGACGGGTCCTGCAGCCATAATTTCTTCTCTCTTACAAGTCTGTCAGTCAAGTAGATTACTAGGAAACTAAGTTTCTATGGAATAGAAGCAGGGAAAGAGAGAGAAGGGAAGATACACCCAATAATGCCTCTTTCAGGTGTATTTCTATTAGTATCCTCTTTCTAAAATTATTGACACACCAAATCTGATGACCAAGTTGGATGCTTTCAGGCAAAAAGGTATCAAATGCCTAAAATGTCATTATTTTACTTCTGAGAAGCCACTATTTCTTTTATTCTCATACACTTGCTTATCTTGAAGTGGTGAACCACATAAATACATTTTGATATTTGATCTTTTAAAACTAGACACTTAGCAATATATCTTTAATATAACATTTTTTTTCTAATAGCTTCTTTCAAGATCTTTTTCTTTAAATTAAGAAAAACATAAACTATCATATGTATCCCTTCCTGGTGGTGTCTAGAATATACTAGGAATAAATACGTAGGTAGGAATTAAGGGTTAGGGTGTGGGTTGAGATCTGATTTTTTAAAAAATTTGAAATAAAAAACCCACTAAACAATGCACAGAAGAATTTTTTTTTGTTGTTACATTGTTCTCATGAATGAAAGTTTCATTGTTTGGCTTCAGCCAATTTTTTAAGAAACTTACAAATGAAGATGAAGGCAAGCTTTTAAAAAACACCTTTGGTCATAAATATAAATAAGATTTTCCTGCCAGAGAGAAATTGGTGCTTTGTTCATCATTTGAATAGCAAAAGAGGGAGGTTTGTTGGCTCTTTCTCATTTAATTCTATTGACCTGCCAACATTTTACAGAACTTAGTAACATCCATTATTTCTTTTTTTACATATAGTTATTGCTGTCCCTTTTATGAGATCTTACTTGTGTTATCTCACGTTCTTCCTTCCTTTTCTTTATTTGCATGTCATAAAAATGCTGAATTTCTACAACTTTCAGGTAATTATTTTTATGAGCTCACAGAAGGTTATCTTCAATGCTATCACAAAGCCTTCCAGCGGTCAATGAATCATGCAGATTATTTCATGATCCCTTGTCCAAGATTGCTACAGAGGCATAGGTCTCTTCATGAAAACACTTTTAAAAATTGGGAGCAAAAGATATTCTTGTAACATTAGTTGGTTTTTTTTTCCCCCTAAATACAAGCAGTAACCATATTACAAAATATTTTAAAAGTAGGAAAAAAGCACAAAGAAGTAATTCCACCATCTCCATAAATGTTGTTAACATTTTAATTCATATCTTTCTATTGTATAAAATATATACACACATAAATGTAGAGTTTGTACTCTGATTTATTCCGACTTGTATTAGAAAGGGAACGTTGTCTTTTGTCACCAGTTTTCAAAATCATTTACCAATTATTTATATATTCATTGCCTGAATAAACAATCATTTAAAATTCTATTGCCTTTTTAGACTATCATGGATTTTACCTGAAAAAAAATTTAATTTGGTCTGGTTATGCATATTCTCCTCCAATGCCTGAGTCACACATAATTAAGACTCTCTTCTAAATTCAATGAGTTTAAAAAGTTTAATGAGCCTTTTCTCAAATAACAAAAGATAAGATTCAAATGAAAGAAAAACACCTTTATTCACATGAGATGATAGTTACATGGTAACAGCAGCTGTCACTACACTGAGAGCGAGCCAAGAAGGGCCTTTGGTTCTGTAAAATCTGATTCACAAGCGTGAACTTGAACTTCTGAATTCTAGAGCAAGAGTGAGTAAACTGTGACCGGAGAAGCAAATTCAGCCTATGGCTGCTTTGGTATCGCCTGTGAGCTGAGAATGAGTTTTACACTTGGAAACGTCTGGTTAAAAAAAAAAAAATTCTTAAGAATATTATTTTGTGACACATGAAAATTATATGAAATTCATATTTCAAAGTTTTCTTACAACCTGGTCAACACTTATTTTTGTTTACAGATTGTCAGTGGCTCCTTTGTCACACTAGAACAGCGGAGTTGAGTGGATGTGAAGAAAGTGGTATAGCCCACAAAGGATAAAATATTTACCCTCTGGTCTTTTACAGAAAAAGTTTGCTGACCCCTGCTCTGTATAATGAGGTTCTGAGCAGGATAGCGATAGAAAAGTCTAGGCTCATTTTCTTTCAGCCCTCAATCCAAATCCCCTTCCTGTTTTCAGCAGGACTATTTGTGCCCATGAGGGAAACACGAAGGATTGTCAGTATTCATTTGCTATCAGAACTGCCTTTGAACTTCAGGGAAGCCGCCATCTTGTTTTTGTTCACTCCTCTAAAGCATAGTGTCTGCAACATGAAACACTAGTAAGTTCTTTAAACTTCTTGTTATCTTGAGACAGGGCAAGACCTTTACCCAATTTATTTAGTTATGGAGGAGGAGGATGAAAGATTGGGTCCTAAGTGTTATTCAATGGCATGACATGGTTTTCCCTGGAAGGCAGCCAGAACTGATGCTTATGAGGTGTTTGTCTGATGAACTGTACCCCTGTGACACTAAGCAGAGCCCGGAGGAGGTGGTAGTCCATCTTTGTAACTCAGGTTTGATTTACAAATAAGAAGAATGTGCAAAGCCTGTAGAAACCAGACCCACCCCTAAGACAGTCTAACAAGGAAATAATGACCCCTGCTTGTGAATAACCACTTGGAAGGTGGGATGATTTGGACTGTTGTTGAAGTATATTATAGCATTTTCATGAAAGCAAAATAGAGCCCGGGCAACTGCTGACTGCTTTAGTAACTGGAAGTCTGAAAAATAATTATTAGCCAGTGTTTGTGGGTTATAGAGAATCCATCTAATTAAAGGAAGCCATTTAGTGAATGTATGGGAGCTTCTAATACAGCTCACATAAACAGAAAAAAAAAAAAAGTTGGAAGGAAGAAAATACTGTGTCAAAATGTCTGCAGGATTAAATTCCAAATTCAGAAAAATAAGATGAACCCATATATTTGACAATGAAATTCTCTTAAAACAGAATGTCATAATTTCAGAAAATTAGATTTACCATGAGCTATAATACTTCTTGCTATTCTCCTCAATTTCAGTTTTACATCCTGTGTACAATTTCATAAGGCTCTAAGAACTGATTTTAATTTTGCCCAGAAAAATTCTATTAAGATGTCTACAGAATTCTACAGAGTGCTTGGCAGTGTTTACAAAAAGGCAAAATGTGGTCATCTGGGGTCACTATAAAATACAATGCATGTACAAAAACATGATTGTCTTATTTGTGTTACTGCATTCATTTTAAGTAATGTTTTATTTTTTCCAATTAAAGAGTAATATGCTTATTATAGAAAATTTTGAGGCTGGGCATGGTGGCTCATGCCTGTAATCCCAGCAATTTGGTAGGCCGAGGCAGGCAGATTACCTGAGGTTGGGAGCTCCAGACCAGCCTGACAAACATGGATAAACCCCATCCCTACTAAAAATACAAAATTAGCCGGGCATGATGGCACATGCCTGTAATTCCAGTTGCTAGGGAGGCTGAGGCAGGAGAATCGCTTGAACCCGGGAAGTGGAGGTTGTGATGAGCCGAGATCGAGCCATTGCACTCTAGCCTGGGCAACAACAGTGAAAGTTTGCCTAAAAAAAAGAAAGAAAAAAAGAAAATTTGAAAATAGGGAAATGGAATGAAACAAAAATAACCTCCATAATCCCTCCACTCTAAGACAACATTACTTGAGGATTTTCTTCAGTCTTTTGCTTTGATATTTTCTTCACAGTGTGACTCTACTCAAAGTTAATTGTAGCTGCTTGGTTTTTTGTTGTTGTTGCTGTTGTTATTGTTTGTTTGTTTGGGGCCTTTTTTTTTTTTTTTTTTTTTGAGACAGAATCTCTCTCAGTTGCCCAGGATGGAGTGCAGTGGCGTGATCTCGGCTCACTGCAGCCTCCATCTCCCAAGTGATTCTCCTGCCTCAGCCTGCCAAGTAGCTGTGACTACAGGCCTGTGCCACCATGCCTGGCTAATTTTTTTTTTTTTTTTTTTGAGTCGGAGTCTCGTTCTGTCGCCCAGGCTGGAGTGCAGTGGTACAATCTCGGCTTGCTGCAAGCTCCGCCTCCTGGGTCTCCCTCCCTCAGCCTACTGAATAACTGGTACTACACGTGCCCACCACCACTCCTGGTTAATTGTTTTTTAATTTTTAGTAGAGACTGGGTTTCACCGCATTAGCCAGGATGGTCTTGATCTCCTGACCTCATGATCCACCTGTCTCGGCCTCCCAAAGTGCTGGAATTACAGGTGTGAGTCACTACGCCTGGCCTAATTTTTGTATTTTTAGTGGAGACAGGATTTCGCCATGTTGGCCAGGCTGATCTTGAACGCCTGACCTCAGGTGATCTGACTGTCTCAGCCTCCCAAAGTGCTGGGATTACAGGCGTGAGCCACCGTGCCTGGCCTGCTTGCTTTTTAAATTAACTATATTACATAATTTTCAGATAAGACACAGTTATCCAGAAAGAGCCCTAGAGATGGATAAGGAACCTGTTGAAATGCTCTGATACTAAGAAAAAAAAAAAAAAATTAAATTCAAAACCAAAAACAAGTCACAAGGTAAGCAAAACTTTTGTCACTTTCTTTTGTATCTTATGACTTCATTTTTAGCCATCATTTTATGGCCTGGGAGAAGACCCAAATAAAAGGGAAGACAGAAGGCTGGGGTGGGAGTGCAGGGGGAGAGAAAGAAAGAAAAGTTAAAAAAAAAAAACACAAAAAACAAAAAACAAAACCGAGGAAAAAAAGCCAGAATTGCAAAGAAAATACATTTCAAAAATACATCTGGTCCTGTTGAGAGTAACAGCACTCGTGTAAACGTGTAGACAAGTCTCTAGGCTGAATTTTTTTTTAAAGTCCACATATTTGATATGTATTGCATTCATTCCATTGTACACACATTTGAAATTCAGTAAAGAAAAACAGACCCAGATCACAGTTCATTTTTGAGAATACAAAAAGTCTTTTAACTTAATTTTGCATTTTGCTTTTCATTCCAATATTGGCAAATTAGATGTAGAGAGAGGATTAATACAAGAGTGGTGTGGCCACTGGTGAGCAGTGAGAAAGATGTCCCCATCAATGACTTCTTCCCAAGCCAGCTGATGGGCGGCACAGCAAGGCTGTGACCTGTCTTGGAAGCAGTCTAGCCCAGCACAAATATCACAGGCTTTGAAGCCAAAAGGGAACATGTGTTCCTGATGCTTGACCCTCTCCCATTTGTTACAGTGTCCACAATATGTTTTTACCTGGAAGTCTTTTTTTCAGGAAGTCTGTGTACTACGGCTGTGTTCAAACATGATACAAGGACCCCAAATGCCACTTGCTTGCTGTCTTCCTGGGAACGGGACGAGGATGTAATCTGAGCTTTTTAGGGTCTGTCTCTACACTGCAACATCATAACACTGAAGTGTAGATTTATAGCATGCTTTATGTATATTTTCTTACTCCCAAGGCCCCCCTTTTTACAGATACATACACAACATGTCATGTAGAAAATATAAATTGTTGATTGTACAGGCACTTTCTTCCTTTTTAAACCTTTCCAAAGGTCTTTTTGTTAAATACACCCAGATGCCGTTTGACAGATGAGGGGCTAATTGCTCTGTGAATTACCTCTATCGATTCCTGTTTCATGTTGAGCCAAACAAACAAAAGATATTAATGCTTTGAAAAAAATGAATGATGACCTTTCTCTGCAAACACAGCTTGCGGTCTCTGATTATTGGTGATTCCAGAGAGCAGCGGTCAATCGCAATAGCTGTAACGCTATGATCACTATAATAAGCTTGCCTGACCTTCTCTGCCATGTTAAGTGGTTTAAATTTATTTGCCCAACAACAGAAGAGCTTTCATTTAAAGTCACAGAACATTCAATTCAATTTAAAGATGTAGTGTCTTCTTTCCTCTTCTTCCCCTTCCGTATCTTTCCCTACTTCATACACTTACATGCCAAGCTTACTAATTGCTTTACCATTCTAAAACTAGCCTGATACCTGAAAAGCAAATTCCTTCAGTTCTTAAAGATTCCAATTGCCATTTTCTTTTTTGTTATTTCTTGCTTTAAGACATTTGAAACACTTTGTTTTTTTCTCTATTTAAGTTTTGTCCATGGTTTAGGTTTAATGTGTGCTACATAAAAAGTCAAGAATCCATGAGCTGGGTGGTGCTAAGCACCCCAGCTTGGGAACCAGGGGTATAGTTCCATTTTTGTCCATAATTAATGGGACCTTGAACCAATATATCTTTTTTTTTGCTTAGGGCAGTTTCTTCCAACTTGGTAAATGAAGGGAAAACCGCCAGGTGATCTACCTTAGAACCTCTTTCCAATTGGAACATACTTATGTTTTAGATCTCTCTACTTAATAGTTTCATATAAATGGCAGAGTTATAACTTGGCAGCTAAGATAAAGTGATGATAGGACCTTTAAGGACTTCCTGTTTCTCAACGAAGTTTTATGATGGAGAAAATATGCAAACCACAAATGACTAAAGCCTTAAATGGTTAGGGAGTTGATGCACCCCCCACCCCCACCCTTGGTTTAAGTGGAAATCTCTTGAAAAGGGTACCCCTGACACTTCCACCAATTTCCTGGTAAGAGGCACGCCAAAAATACCAAGGAAGTAGTTTCCCTTAGAATACTTTAGTTCCTGTGCTATAGGATCAAAGCAGGAAGTGAAGAGAAAAACACCACAAATAATCAAAAGACTTCCTGCCTTAGTTTGACATTCTCAAGCCGTTAGGTCTGAATTCACATAGGATGCTGGGTACCTCTAAGGTGACTTTTCTTAGACATTGTCTCTAGTTTCCACTTAAGACAGTGCCCAATAGTACTGCCAAGCCATCTCTTAACCATACTTGACTCGGCTATGTTAAGTACCATGTTGAGTTTAAAAAAAAAAAAAAAATGCAAAGCATCGTTCCTCCTTGTGTCAGACTCCTTGCTGCGGCCTCAAAGTACCAGGCTCCTTCTCAGCATGAGGGTATTTGCAAATGCTATGTGCTTTCTCTGCCTAGAATGCCCTTCTACTCTTTTTCTCTTCAAAATCCAATGTCAGTGCCTTCTGATCCCTATTCACTCTTTAAAATTTCGCGTGGCATTATCCCTCTTCCAGGATGCCTCTTATACCATCCTATTAAGGATTCACCATAGTACCCAAGGCACACTTTTATCTCAGCACTTTGCGCATCTATTTTATTTACTGCTCCATTTTTCTGTTTTCCCTGGAAATTTGCACTTTGTATCTCAGGTCTCTGCCACAGAACTTGGGGCTTAGGAAGTGTCCAACTGATGTTTGAAAATTAATAAATGAATGGAAGAATACATCTTACTGTAACAGCTATATAACCATTACAAAAGGCAGTGGCTTTAGACAGCTAGGGCTTATGATCACTCATGCATCTGGAGATCAGTTGGGAGATAGTTGATCACAGCTGAGCTTGGCTGGGATGGCTCAGCTGATTGTGTTCTCTGTGTTCTTCGTCTTCCCCTTGGGACAAATGGTGCTGGCCAGGTATGCGCTCGTGGCTAAGCACAATTATAAGAAAGAAAGCAACACCATGCAATGCCTCTTAGGACATGCTGTCACTTCCACCTTATTCTTTTGGCCACAGCAAGTCATATGGGTAACCCTAAGTCAAGGGACAAGTTCATATACTTACCTCCTTAAGTCACACGTGAAAATCACACATCATAGGTCATGGATACAAGGAGAGCTAAAAAATTGGTCACAGTAATAAAACCAAACCTGTCAAAAACAAAATACTAGCAACCATATTAAGAACAGAAAATTTGAATACTAACAGAGCCATTTGACCAGTCTCCAGTATTAACTACTCTATCTTCATTTCACCAACATATAACCCAGTCACTTTAATGGTATATGTGTCCCATAAATATTTACCAGATTGTGTTAGATCATAGGAAGTAAACAGAGAAATCACAATTGGATGAGTCCTGGTAAATTTAATTTTATGCTTTTTTAAAAAGAAAATATGCACAGCAGGCAGATGCAAGTGTTAGGGACACACAATGAAAAGCTAAATGATGTTTATCTTGTATGTATAAAGATGCTTTTACTTTTGTTTACATATGTCACCATGGAAGCTGGTTTAATAATATTTAAGTCCCCCTGGTGGTTCCACATCCAATGACTCCCTTTCTCGGGACACCTTCTTATTTTCCTTATAACAAGCTTGGGGAAAGTTCAGGTAGGCATTGCTGGGACATCTTCTTTTCAGAGTTTCTGCTCAATCACAGAGCTGATGTTAAATCTCCAAAGTCGAGGCGTTGATTTACCAGGAAGAACATAGTTAACTTAAAAGCAGAAAAAGTCCTGGTGGTAATCAAGCCCTGTGAATTCCTGGCCCTCTTCCCCGGAGGCCCAGTGAGGCCCACTCAATGGGCCAACCCCACACCACGCATACTGGATTGGTGGTCCTCTTATCATAGAAAATTCCACCAGTGTGGCCAAAACATACAAAAGGAAGCACACAAGAAAAATGTGAATATAATATGCAGGCCTTGGATTGAGTTTTATGAAAAGAAAAAAGAAGGAAGGGAATTTTTCTTAGTTCTTTTTCATAGTTCATAGGACAACAAATAACAAGACAGATTGCTTATCAAATGTGAGTAGTTTTACTATTTTTAGTGGCAAATTAGGCACTAAAAGGGCAGGTTTAAAGTCTCTCCTAATTTTGTCCTATAATCAGATAATTTAAATTTGACTATAAATAGAATCATACATTTTCCCACGATCTGCCTTTCATTTCACACAGTAAGAGTTGTATTATTTATTGAAAACATACCAATCCAGGCATTCTCAAAACTTCTTTCTTTCTTGACTTTAGTTTGTGATAATAAAGTATGATATCGGAATCCTGCCCTGTGGCTGCAAAACATTAAGTTCCTTGAGGCAATAAGATGCTTGTTGTTCTCGTTTAATCTACCAGCATTTCAGAATCCTGTACTTCCAATTTCAGAAGAAGTAAAAGATGAGAATGTGCTGTGCTCTCTTGCATGGCCTGACCCAGTCTCCCTGATTTGTTTCAATATGCAGAGGCTTTCCTATATAAGCCAACTCCAACTCCAGCATTTGGAGTTTTCTGCGTTTCTCCATGTTTACAGTTCCTCTCCATTTCCTTCCAAGAAAAAGTGTGCAAACGACAAATGCATGTTCTGATCATATTTGAGCAACAAAATCTTGACAGCGTTCTCACGACCATCAGGAAAAAAAATTCCTTCCATGAACCTAACCCTAGAAAATGCAGAAATTATTGATAAATATAATGCAGTGGTCAACTTCCTATCTGTAGCCTACAAAACATTAGACATTAGTTTGTTGATGGGAATTAATACAGCCTAAAGTCCTCATTCATTCTTGACAGTTCTATCATATTACTGCAAAAGATGCTAACATGTTAGTTGCTGGAGGTGGGGGGCAGGGGAGAGGGAATTGACAGAGATGGGAAACCAAGCTGCTTTGCAAATATTCACAGCTGCAGCTTTCTGTAATCATGCTCCTCTTTCCAGTTTCCAGTGGACTTTGAAAAGACAAATTCATAAGAGTTATTTAGCCATAAAAGGGAATCAACTCCTAAGCCCGGCTTCCTGAAGACCTCAGAAACTGAATTACCGCAGCACTCCCTGAGGTCCAGAGCACAGATTTTTGTTCCCCTCCCACATCCCTATCCCGAAGAAAAGAGTTTTCCCACTAGCTAAAATAATTAAAAACATTCTCAGAATAGAACACAAAATGTTCCTGGTTTGAATACGAGCCTATTTTTCAGGAAAAAAAAAATCAATGTATTGCATATTTACAGTTTGATAGTGCAACAGTAGTGAAACTATCCGTGTGAGGACTTAATTGCATATAAAAATAAATAAAATGTGCAAGGATAGTGTGTTCTTTCTTGATGTTCTTCTGCCTACCTTTTTGACTTGTTAACTAACTTCAGGGGAGAATCCTTAAAAGGAGCAATACACCAGCCCATATAAAGTCACTGGTTATCTCTGAACAGGAACTTAGCTTTTTAAATCCTGTCTAGGTAAATTACCTTTCCAGTGCAGGGTATTTCCTTTTAGGAGATTCCTTGGGAAGAGCCTCCAGGGAACTGACTAACTTTTTAATGGTTCACTCAGATTAAGAGGAAGGAAATGTGAACTCCTTTGGGGGGAGGAGGCACCACTCTAGGCTGTCTGCATCCTGTAATTCTTCCCAAGTCCGTGAATCATACTTTTAAGACTCCTTTTCAAGGGCATTTGTCTTCCTTTAAGAGAAGGCCAAAGCAGAAAAGACGAGTTTTAAAATAGGTCTCAATCAAGCTTTAGCCATAAAAACAATTGCATGATTCTCTCACTGACTACCCAGGAAAGGTTGCACCGAATCCCTTACCTGCATGCCTCCCCTCACCTTGCACAATACTCTTCCTTTCTTTAGTTTCAGAATTAAAATGACTTTTCATATCATCTCAGCATCTTTGAGCTACAATTCTGTACAACTCTTCCGTTTATAGCCAGCCACTGACACTGATTTCATTTATGCCAATGGAATTGGAAGAACTGAGCTAAAATAACATTTTTCAAAATCATTTTAGATAGAAATCTGGCTTTGAAAATAATGTCTTTACTTAATAAAATATCTACTATGTAGACAATTATAGACTATTTTTATACCTTTTCCACAAAGTATGAACATTTCTGAGAATAAATTTATCAGTGAATAAAGTTTATCAGAGGTTGAAACATTTAGATCCTTCCAACTTCTGTAGAAGTATGAAGTCACAGGAGCACATTTCTAAAAGGCTACGATGTTACAATACCAGTTACTCAACCAATAAAGTGTATTTATTGAGTATCCATTAAGTGGTGATTTCTATTATTTTCAAGGTCCTGCAAAGAGTGGAAAAAGCCAGGTATGGTGGCTCACACCTGTAATACCTGCACTTTGGGAGGCTGAGGCAGGAGGATGGCTTGAGCCCAGGGTTTCCAGACTAGCTTGAGCAACATGGCAAGACACCTGTCTCTTATTTAAAAAAAAAAAAAAAAAAAAGAGTGGAACAACCCTGTCAGAATGTGCAAAAGGACAAATGTATAATGAAATGGAATATCCACAGAAAGTACACCAAGAATGAACATTAACATAAACTGTGAACTTCGGGTGGTGATGATGTGTCACTGTAGGTTCATCAGTTGTAACAAAGGCACCTGTCTGGTGAAATTGGGAGGAAGGCACTACATGTAAGAATGTGAGGGTATATGAGGCCCAGCGTGGTGGCTCATGCCTGTAATCCCAGCACTTTGGGAGGCCGAGATGGATGGATTACCTGAGGTCAGGAGTTCAAGACCAGCCTGGCCAATGTGGTGAAACCCTGTCTCTACTAAAACTACAAAAATCAGCTGGGTGTGGTGGTTCACACCTGTAATCCCAGCTACTCTGGTGGCTGAGGCAGGAGAATTACTTGAACCTGGAACGTGGAGGTTAGAGTAAGCCGAGATTGTGCCAGTGCAGTCCAGACTGGGTGACAGAGCGAGACCCTGTCTCAAAATAAAAATTAAAAAGTATATGGGAAATCTCTGTTCCTTCCTCTCAATTTTACTGTAAGACTAAAACTGCTCTAAAAAAATAAAGTCTTTAAAAAAATGTTCAAAATGAATGGATTCAAGGTGAATTTAGATTATATTTAAATTAACAGGATTCTTAGAGTTGGTTTGAACAGTTCAGTAGCAATTCCTTAATCTAAAAGTCTCTACACAACATTTATTTTTGACCTAAATTGATTTCATTTGTAGCAAAATGTGACCCACACCTATGTGGACGATGCAGTCTTTATTTATCCCAGTTAGTGTGTATTCATATGTGCCATTGCATACATATTAATGGATGCCACCCTAGACCCCCTGGTGATGGCAGATAGTATTGGGCTTTGTGGCCAAGATATCTTCCAAAATCCTAATAGTTCTGAATTACAGGACACATCTCATCCCAAGAGTTTTGGATATGAGATCGCGGACAAAAATATACTGAAAGAGAGAAAGTAAGGAAGGAAGAAAATAATAGAAAAGAGTTGTGTTCTGTTTTATCCCTTCTCTGATTTCTTAAGAGCTCCTAGTCTTAGAGTTCCATGCAGGTCTCCATTATTATAATGGTCCATTTTTTAATTGAAATTTATTTTCAGTACTAAAGTGCAAAAAAACCTAGAAATGTAATTGTGATTTCTACTTAGGAGGACCTCAAAGGTTTTGTATGAATGCCTGTAGCCTGCATTTCGTTTCTATAAGTCTGTTTCAACAGAGTACTCAGAATAGATCTTTCTTTCCTCTCATTCTGGGTAGAAATGTCAGAAACGTGAGGCTAAGGATTTAAAGCATAAATTAGGGGTTTGTTGATGAAAAGAAAGAAAGGAGGAAAGGATTGAAAGAAAGAAAAAAGAAGGAAAGAAAGGATGGAAAGAAGGGAGAAAGGAAAAAGAGGAGAAAATAAGAGAAAGGAAAAAAGAAACTTTAGTCTATAGAATCTACATTAAAATGTTTCTCCATGCTTAAGACATCTTGAAAGAAAAGATGTCAAAGGCAAATTCTAATATTCTAAAACTGCAATCCAATTGCATAAAAACATAAATTTAAATCATTTGGAAGAAAATATTTATATATCCTATATTTTTGTTTAGAGCTGATCTCCATAAAATCTCTTATAATATACAGATCCATATTACAGAGATTATATATACAAATATTTTATTGCTTATGCATAAAACCTGATTTGTTGGGGGATATAAACTATGGCTTTCTCAGGTATCACTGCTACTTGATTGTTCTGAGTATTGGCTTTCTGACAGGGATTGGAATGAAGCCATTTTTATTAATTTAGTTATTTTTGCTGATATAAAAGGCCGTCTATCATGTTAATGATGTATCGGTCTGCGGTCCCACCGAACAATAATTACAGAATGTTCCTAATAGTAAATCATTTGTCACAATCACAGCTCAGTACAACAACCTTTTGTTGAGCAGGGGAAGACATTATCTGAATAGCAATACACCTTTATGCGAACCGATGAGAGGTCTTACACGGACCAGTCTGGCAAATACCTGAGAGTTCCACGTCTGAACTGTCCATCCCCATATTGCAACTTGGAGATGTGCACTGTGATCTGCTGAATTTTCTCCAGTGTTAGCCTATCTAACCAATGAAAACAACACGTTTTGCCCAGGGAAGAACAGATGAGGTTTCACAAGAATATAAAAGAGACTGCTCTGAAAAGGAGAAGAAATCAAATAATCGAAAAAAGGAAAATATTAAAGGTTTTTACTTCCATTTCCCCTTTCAGCAAGAATTGGGCACAGAAACGATATAATACTCAAAAAGAAAAATCAAAGTTAACAAAAAGGCATTGCTATCTAAATTAAATGAAAGCCCCATCATCAGAATGACATGATGGTCAAGTTCTTCTTTGTAAAGATTCACAAATTGCTTTCAGTTATTTTTGAGCACTATTTGTAAATCATAAGAGCCAACATTTTTGGAGTATTTCTACGTGCAGGGAAATTTTTCAAAATAGACTTAATTTTTTTAGAACAGTTTTAGGTTCACAACAAAATTGAGTAGAAGGTACAGAGATTTCTCATACAGCCCCTGCCCCCTGACTGCTGCCCCACCTCCCCTGCTCCACCCAGCCCCCTCCCCCTTGTTACAATTTATAAGCCTACATTGACACACCGTTGTCACCCCAGGTCCACAATTTACATCAGGAACTCTCTTAAGGACTTAATGTGCATTAATTCTTTTCATGGTTTCAAAAACTTTGATATTAGCTCCATTTTAGAGATAAGGGAACTGAGGCAGAGAAGAGTTAAGTCGCATCAGGGTGATTTCTGAGATTTGGTCAATTTCAAACCCTAAACTGGTTGATTAACTACTTCTCATTATCGAAGTACCCCAGTGAAAATAAATCAACAACATCTGTTGGGTACCCATATGCTTGCTGAGATTTTGGTGAGATGATGTCAATCATGCCAGTTTGGCAAGAATATCCCCATTTCATGGACAAAGTAACCCAACTTCAGAGGAGGAAAAACTAGGATTTCAATACTGGTCTATGACATGAAGCCTGCATCATTATCACATGACCCGTCTGTCCCCATATTCCCATGTTCTGTAGGAAAAGCTGCCCAGGTAATGAGTAATTGTGTCACGCTGGCTTGAGTGACTGTGTTTTTTATAACATGATACTCAAGCTTGAGGTCCATGGATTTTATAAAATCACAGAAACAACTAACTTCACTTTAAGGGTATGTACTTCTATTTTTTATTTTCTACACATGTGAATTCTTGATTAGACATTTTATTGAGACAGGAATGAGTGTATGTAAAGGAAGAAATTCTAAAATATTTGTTCATTAAGTCCAGTGACTTGAAAATAACCTCAAGATCAATTAAAATATAGGAAGTAGAGGGAGCCATAAGTTGTGCTATGAGTTTAAAAGATCACATCACAGAAAAGAAAAAGATTTTTTTTAAAGCATCAACAACAGAAATTGTTCTAGAAGTTTATGCACAGGAAAATTGGGAAGCATGGGCTTCCCAATTTTCTTTGTGTTTTAAAAAACCATGCATAGACCTCTTGCTCTTTGATTGCCCCAAAATGAATTTGGAAGGCTCAAATTAGCATTAAATGGAATAACTTGTAAGTACCCCCTCCCCTCAGACACTTACCCTTTCTTTCATTGTCTAGAATTCTGTTGGAGATATCCTTGGACTCCAACAGGCAAGTCAAACTTGCTTTTCTAGTGTCAAATCCAAAATACCAATTAAGTTGAATAGGGAAATGAATATGCTTATAAATTTTTGACAGCCACTGATAGCGATAAGGAAGTCCTTGGTTATAACTTGAAATCAGTTATCAGGGGATACCAGAGGAGCAGAAAGTTGTTTCTTGCCAAGCCCTTGCAGCCTCTTTTCCTCACACTGGCCAGATGGCCTGGAGGTGGCACTTCCAGCTGCTTCTGGAAGGAACCTGCTGCAAACACACAGGCATTCTTGACACTGCCACCACACTGCTTTCCAAAGGGAAGAAGTCCTGTTTGGAAAAAAAAAAAAAAAAAAAAAAATCAAATGGCTTCCTCTTGCCCCAACCTCGCTGTCCCCTACCCCTATGTTCTGTCCAGAAGAAAAATCCCTCAGCCGCAATGGTTGTTTTTATTAAATTCTCCTCAATAAAAAGCTCAGGCAGGATTTATTAGGTACTCAGGGTGGACGTTTAGTATTTCGCCAGTTATTAAGTGAAAATCAATAGAAAGCAAAGAAAATGGAAGTCACTGCACTGTTAGCGCACCGTTGTCGCCCAGATATTATGTCGGCTGTCTTGTAGATTCATGACAGACGAAAGAGGCCGGGAGAGAACTTTCTGCTTACATTGCACGAGCCAAAGTGGGGTTATTCATTAGAGCAGGCAGCCGGCCAGATGGATTTCCAGTTCAGTTTTACCATTTATCTTTAAAACGCCTGTATCGAGTGAGAAAGAACACTGATATTATGTGATATCAATGGCAGGTTTATGTATCTAAATCAGGATTTATTGTTATTTTGTTCCAAAGACCTTTTTTTCTCAAGAAATACCATTTCACTGGAAGAAAATAATAGCTAAAACCTTGTCAAAGATAACCTTTCATGCTGTCCGTGCACCACTAGCTGTAAAACAAATAGAACCCAGTATATAAATAGTTTTAACCACATCCTTACAAATCATTTCTTCTGAATCTGTTTTCCCCATTTCAATATATATATTTTTTAATGCCACATACATGATTTTGGGTCATTCAATGTTTTCTTTGCCTGTAGTTTAGCTCTAAATAATGTCAGCAATTGTTTTAATTCTATCTAAAAGCTTTAGCTGTTTTGTGTTCTTCTGTGGAATGCCACATTTCTCAAAAAAATTCTTTGGAAAAGCAAAGTGATCTGCTGGTTTTTTTTCTTCTCCGCCTTAGAATGAGCTTTAGAGTCAAAAACACCCATCATCTTTTTTCAACTACTTCAGGGTCTTCAAAAGCCAGGACGTGTTTTCTTTTCACTGGAATTGACATTTTTGGTAGCATCCGGGTTTTCTGCTTCCCTCTCTTCTAAAGGACAGATTACAGCAGACTTGGGCAGATCGGATCTCCAGTCAATCCTGCTAAGTAAGGAAAGTGGCCAAACACCTGGATGAACCATTGTATCCACTTTATAAACAGCTCTCAAGAAAATACAGTCAATATATTTGTAAAATGTCATTAGTGATACTTTGTGATTAGGAGAAAAATTACACCTGGGTTTTGACTGAAGTGCTTGCTAATAAAGAACTGTGAATGTATTTTTAAGCTACCTTATTTTTACTTTTTCTCTCCTTTGGGTTTGGGAAAAGAGAAGATATATTTAGCTTTATATGGACCAATATTAGATAGTAGCCAGACAAGGTTATTTAAAGACGAATATGCATTTTTTTCTTTTCTTTCTTTTTTTGAGACAGAGTCTCACTCAGTCACCCAGGCTGGAGTACAGTGGCACGATCTCAGCTCACTGCAACCTCTGCCTTCCAGGTTCAAGCGATTCTCCTGCCTCAGCCTCCCGAATAGCTGGGACTACAGCCACCACGCCCAGCTAATTTTTTGTGTTTTTAGTAGAGATGGGGTTTCACTGTGTTAGCCAGGATAGTCTCAGTCTCCTGACCTTTTGATCCACCCACCTCAGCCTCCCAAAGTGCTGGGATTATATGCGTGAGCCACCGTGCCCGGCCAATGTGCACTATTAAGTGCCACTAACTTAGAAAAATTATCTAAAAACCAACTGAAATTTTTGCTACCATTGGACAAAAGTGATATTATACTGAAAAGTAAGAAAATAAAAGTAAACAATAGATTATAAAATATTTGTTCCTTGATAGTCTTCTTTATCTAACTGATAGTCTTATCTAACTAGCTAAATTTCTCAATCAAATTGAAGAGCTCAATTATACCAGAAATCCCTTCTTGTAGTTTTCTATTTAGCAGTTTTTCTCTTTTTAAATCTATGTTGACAATCCAAATGGCATTTTCCTTTTAGATGGCGCCCTCCAATAAAACACAAAAAGTTCTTTATAATTCTCACTTTTTAAGAAAAACTATTCTAAAACCCTGTATATATTTATGCATGTGTGTTTGGACCTGTTGATCAGGAGGCAATAAAGAATAGTGGTTAAGAAAATGGGCTCTGAAACTAGATTACACAAGTTCAAATCACAGTCTGTCACTCTCCGGCAGTATGATTTGGTGAAGTTATTACAGCACTGTGCCTCAGCTTTCTCATCTGCATAAAAAAGACGATAACCTTATAGATTTCTTGCCAAGAATACAGGGGTCAATATAGGTGAAGGTCATAGACTATCACTTGCTCAATATTAAGTCCTCAAAGCATCAGGTAGCTATTACTTGGAGTATACCAAATCCAGAACACCAACTCATCCATGTTGATGCTTTGATTTTCCAAGAAAATGGAATATAGTCCCACAGAGATTCAGTTAACCCTCGATTTTCATATTTACTAATGTATTTTGACCCTGCAGAAAGATACAGTCTTAAGCTTCAGCTGTAATGAGAATCTCACTTAAACCAAAATTTTGTATTAAATAAATTTGCCTTAAAGAAGTCTCTTTCTTTGTGGGATCAACATTCAATCTGAAATACTAAAAATAGTCTATGGGCAAAACCACATTATTGATTTACTAATAGCTGTACTGATACAATAGTCATGAGGCTTAATGTCTGATTGGGGAGCTATTTATAGACATGTTAATTTGTTGAAAACAATGTCTAGTTATTTCATTCTAACAAATAACATTAGCAACACATGCAGTTATGAGAAAGAAATGATATTGCTAATTAATATGACTTGAGCAGTGAGAAAACTAAGACATTAATGCCAAAGAAAATCAAAGTTGATGACTTGGATTCATTGCCCATATGCATCATGTCACTTGAAGAGTTGCCAAGGCTGTGTCTTACTTTGACTTTATAGTATCAGCCCACTAGCCTTTTATCTTGCTTACCCTCTCTAGACATCAGGATTCTTGCTTGTAGAGGGAGTATAATACACCTTCTTTATTCACCCTACAGTTGAGGACTGAAAGAGAAAGCATAAAACACTTATTAAAAGAAAATGATACTTTATACAGTCAGGCTGGTGGGAAAATCAGTACAATTAATAAAACAGTGATGTTAGAAAAGAGTGACTACTGTCTACTTTATTGCCTATTCATAGGTACTCCTACATTTGTTCAACAAAAATTGTTTGAACGCCAAGGACATGGAGGTTCAGAGCCTAAGTTGACCTCAGCTGCCTAGCCCCACCCTCCCATCTCCCTCTGGGTGTCTGTAAGTGGTTTAACCTCTCTGTGTCTCTGTGCCTCAGATTCCTTGTTTGCAATATTGGAATAACAATAGTGCCAGTTATGTACTAAAGGAGATAAATAGTACTTACTTATGTATTCAGTAAGATCATACATATTAAGTGCTTAGAATAGTGCCTAATAAACAGTCCATTATGGTTTCACTATTATTTGCTTTCCAAGTGCACAATATAATGCTGATCAATTCAGAAGACAAGACTCTGACCTCATGAGCCGATCAGAAAATCGGCCTCATCTTAGATCAGAAAATTCAGATAAACATATAGGCAACTTTTATAGGGTGGGATATTAAAAAAGGACATCCCAACTCTTATTGAAGGCGTGAGATGGAGGTAGAAAAGACTTTCTTGTGGAAGTGATAACTAAGCTGAAAAATTAAAGATGAAGTCAGAAGGTAGAAAAGGTGGCTATAAACCTGAGGTGTTTAATGAAACCCCTGCAATAAAGGAATGGCCTATAGCTGCACTTTCCAATATGGTGGCCACAGCCACATACAGCTATGGAGGGCTTGAAACGTACCTAATGCATGAGAGGAACTAAATGATGTTCATTCATTTTATTTTTTTTTTTCAAATTTAAATTTAAATAGTCACAAGAACTTAGTGGCTAAAGCACTGGGCAGCTCAGCTCTAGACAGAGGGAAAATCATGTGCAAAGGTCTAGAGATAAGAGAATTCTTATATTCTGAAGACCTGACATTTTGAAAAATAGCAGATTCCTGAAGGATGCGACTTCTGGAAATTAGCAGAGGTGATGCATGGTTTACTGCAAAGTTCAGGCTTTCACTGAGGCTATGGAAAACCATTGAATGATAATAAGGATAGTGATACAATCAGATTTGAAATTTAGTAAGATCTCTCCAGCTACAGTTATAATAGTAGCTAGAATTACTAACACTTTATAGTTTACACACTTTTCGGATAACCTGACCTCTCTTAATATTCAAATCCCTTGTATGAGATAAATCTATACTTCCTTTTTTATACCTTATTTATTTTGTCTCCAATCAGCAGCCTATGCTCTTGCCCACACCCCTTGGAAGACAGACCTGATAAAAGGAAAACATTTGTGTGATATCAGTGCACAGACTCATTCACTAGGATGTCCATAAATTAATCTGGAAAACAGCAGCAGTTACTTCCAAAGAAATGTTTAAGAATCATTTTCCTCAATGTGACTTGCCTGTAGAGGTACAAATGCATTCAGTCGTGTCCCATGGGCCGTCCCCCACTCCCAGCACGTTAGTTAACTCCTCTTGCTATTGCCGGTGAGAGCCTGAGCTGCTCTGTGCGCACGGAGTGATGAGGGATGAGCCTGCCTCACCCGGCTTCCTGCGGACTTCCCCTCACTCGCACATCTGTATCCCTCCTTGCCTTGCAGACAAGTTGCAAAGAGAATCCGGACTAGGCAGGGGTATCCACTGCAATATGCTGACAGTCTCTGGCTGCTGACCTGAATCTCCATGTCAGGTCCGAGTAGATAAAAGATAGCATTTCTGTGAGTGGAGATGAGGAGGGAGCACAGCCACTCTGCCTGGAATCAGCGCTTCTTCCCAACACTTGCACACACCTGCAACTTTAACTCAACAATTCTCTTAGTAAGAAATTTTCACAAACAAAAGTATGCTAACATTTGATTTGATTACATCGTTATTTTTTCTCTCTTTTTTAAAGGAGGAATATTAATAAAAGCACATTTCCTTAAAAGAAAAAAAAAAAAAAAACAGGGACTGTAAATGCTGCACTAATTTAATTACACACTGGCACCCTAAGACACTAATGTAAATATTCTGGTGAGTAGGCATAAGACACTTGAAGTAATTACTTAAGGACTCCCTTTCAAAGAATCTCTCCCTTTTTTATTAAATGCCTTTTAACATTAGCACTTTCTTCCTGACAAATTAAATGAAATTTCATTACTCTCCCTGACTTAATGGCATTAGGTTCCCGCCTAGGTGTGAGTTAACCCTCCCAGGACAGCTGACAAGGGCTCCCGCACTCAGTCAAAATGGCACTGTCCGAACTCACAAGAGAAAAGAAGCCTCGAAGAATCCTTTATGTTTTTACCAGAGCTTCCAGAATCCTTCATTTCTTTGATGTTTTTTCAGCTGCGATCCTTGCAAAAATCTAAGAAACCAGAGGTATTGTTGTTTTCCAGTGTTCTTGAGTTCGCCGCAAAAAAAAAAAAAAAAAGAGTATCTTTTACTGAGACTCTAATAATGACAACAAGGATAACAATAACGGCAAACAGTTGCACAGTACTTCTTAAATATCTTCTAAGCAATTTACCTCTTTTAACTCATATTAGCCCCAACAAAACACTATAAAGTAAATACCGTTCATTCCTACTCTCAAATAAGGAAATTAAAATACAACGTGGTTGAGCAATTTAACCAAGGTCACACAGTTAAAAGCAACAGAGCTAGGATTCAACCCAATCAGCCAGCTATTGTCGGACACTTTTATACATATAATGATTGAATCTTCAACCCTGGATTGACATAGACTTATTTCCATATTCCTTTTTACATTTGTGCAAATCAAAACTCGGACATGTTAAGCGACAAGTTCTAGATCACGCAGTTTGTTTCACCCAGGAACTTGTAACCAGCCATTTCTTCTAGACAAATGAGCTTCCAATTTGTTTCCAAAGGGTGGTCTCTGAAAAATGGTGTTTCTATACCTACTTCATTACACTTATGAAGACAAAAAAACAAATGATTGACTTTTAAAAGAGAAAAAAAGGAAATAGAGATTACTATAAGATTGAATTTATTTATAATACTTCAGGAATTAAATGATAAAGTGACAAGAAAAATTATAGAATAATTGCTCAGGAACTGTGGGTCTGAGGTCATTGTCCTACAAATCTCAGTATGAACTAAAAACAAATATGTGTTAATTTTTGTTAAGACGACAGTTGAGAAAACCTTCACAAAGTGAACACCGCAAGAGTCATTCTGTTTTTAGATAGAACTTGTGCCTGGGAGTATGCCAGAGAGAGACTCCCAAGATACGTGTAACACTGATAAGAATGGCTTGAGTGTGAGTTCCCTAAATGGTATCCCTGGCATTTTTTATTTAGCTATCTTTTTGGGGATACATGGTCATATTTTCTACCCACCAAGTTTTACCTCTAATAGTTTTAAAGTCTGCTTATTTTCTTCCTTGTTTAGACCTAACTTTCCTCCTTACTCTTATTTGGGACTTAATTTTATTCTATCTTCCAGGGTTACAATACATTTAGAAATCTGAACAACACAGAAGCATAATGAGAGAACATTCTTTCTGGTCAACTTCAAATTTCTGCAGACAGGGCCAACTGTTAATGAGAATGCATTTTTATTTTACTTCCCTTCTCTCTATCTGACCCAGTAATACTTCTCTTTGGCTGAAACTGTTTTCTCTATATAATCCTTTTTCCTGTCTATGTCACCGGTAGCTGGGACTTCCCGATGTCATGTTCCATCTTACCAAAAGGGTGTCCTTTCTAAGACCTCGGGCCATGTGGAAGAAAAATAATCAGCTCAAAGTTCAGAAGACAAATGTTACAAGGGGGAATTTTTTTTTCTCCCCTTGGTTGTTCTTTAACATATGTAGCTTTAAGGATCAGTATGTCAGTGTTTTGAAAGAAGCAAAGACTGAATTTATTTTGGTGGAGCTATCAGATTCTGAGGAGCTGGATCATTTGTTTTCCTCTTGTGAGGTCCAGGTAAAAGTTCATTCCCTCCATGGCCTGGTGCTTCTGACAAACAAAAACTCAAGGACCCAAAATAAGTATTTTATCTAAAAAATGTGAACTATCCCCAAACAAACATGAAAAATCACAGCTGCCAAATTCCACAAGTAAAATGAGTTGGAGGTTGAGACAGCCCACGATCTCGCTGGGGAGTAATGGGTAAAGTTTGGCCAGCTGCCCTTAAGGCCTTGAGGGACATTCAATCCAATTGCTGTGTCTTAGCGGATGTGAATTTCAAGGTTACACCTGGGTGTTCAAGGGCAGGGCCAAGTGTAATCGGCACTTAGATCATAGATTAATCTTATTTGCCATCTATTAGGTTTGATTCCTTTTCCCTCTCTCCCTCCCTAAAGCCAGGATTATTGTGATAGTTTAAGATAATGGATTCCAACGGAAGAAAGGTCACGCAGGCATGGAGATTTGGAACCTTAAGATAATATGATTAATCTAAAAGCTTCTTTCTCCAAGGGGAGGGCCGTACTTTTCATATGTCTAATTGAGAGAAGAGAGCTGAAAGACCAAGAAAGAGCAACAGCAAAGGAGTGTAAAGGAACTGAGTCCTTGTCAACAACTGCAATTAATTATCATTGTCAGGATGATCTTTCATTAGTTTTCACACTAATAAGATAGATTTGCCTCATGCCTGAGGCTGATAAAACCTTATTGGCAATGTTGATAAGAATATGTCAGTATGGAGAGCAATTCATGGACATCTTTATTTTTTTTTTCTAATTTTCCAAAACTAAATGACTACCTGGATATTGCCAAAAGTGACTACATCTAGGTTGTTAAGGCTATGAAATGCAGCAAAAGTCCTTAGCAGAGCAGCATGATTGGCATAATCTAAACAATAGGTAAACGTTAACCATTGTTACAAATGCTATCAATACGTAAGTGCATATTGTATAACCTAAACAATAGGTAAATGTTGACCATTGTTATAAATGCTATAAAAATAAGTACATACATATTATATATTTCGAGGTATGTAGTTTAATCTTATCCCTTTCAGATATTTCAAGATAACCCCAACTAACCAACTTGGAGAGACCCATAGAAGGAAATTAAGAGTAATATTTATTTGTTTATTAATCATGATGCGTCAAGATTCTAGGCTTCTGATAAGAAACCATTAGTCTTGGTCCACTTGCAAGAAAATTAGAAATTAAATGCAAATATGGGTTCTCTACTATCATTTTTTTTTTCTTTTTTCTAGGACAGAAACTGTTTTACTCTTTATCGTAACTGCTAAAATACATTCATCATTGTGGCTCACTGTTATTTTGGGGTTATTTAAAATGAATAGAAATATGTATCCCCTTGCTTGAAATACATACATGTATATTTCTTTTCTTATATACATACATATAGTAAAGCCACTTTCATTACATTTAACTTGCCCTGTTGTCCTTATGCTGTTGGATTGTTTAAGACAAACAACAGAGAAGAGGGATGGACCCCTGGGGTTGCCAATTTGCTTCCAAAGGCACAAATGTGTGGCCTTGGGGAGAGAAATCTGATATTTTAACTTTGATATGTAATTTTTCTAAATCAGATTCTCCCTTTTAAACAAATGGAACTTTCTTGGTTTATTCACTGGGTAAGAAAGAGGGCAACATGTTTTTTTCTTTAACCAAGATGACAGAATAGGAGAGGAGACCATTCTTGAATGTGCAGGACGCAGTGCAAGGACTAAAGAGTGGCAATACAATCAGAATGTGAGATATGCCTGTTTAATATAATCTGTGAGGTAGTAATATATGCCCGTCATCATTCAATGAGAGTCTCAAGACTCTGAACAGTATTAAAACTATACGAAATAATTAGTTCTCAGTAAGAACCACGTAGCCTAGCATGAAAACCAGTTGCATCATGAGTGGAAATGCCTGTGTTCAAATCAGGCTAACACACAGTTGCTTCAAGATGAAGTACAGATAAGGTAGAGCAAATTGACGCTGAGCACGTGCAAAAATAAAACACATTCCTCTGGGTAAAACTTTCCTTTTTGGAAATTTGAAGCTTTTCACTAAATAATGCTATAATTCACTGACTTCCCAACTTGAAAATATACTAGTCAGTCATAAATTTGTTCTGTAACCCAAAGAAGTGAAAAAAATATTTGTAGTTTCTGGAACAGACCATTATTTTCCCAGGCTCTAAAACCAAATTTGTATTGAATTTTAAAAGTCTACTTTTTAACATGTGTAAAAATGTGGCACTTGGGAGTATAAGAAGACAAAATATGGGGATTTATACACCGAGCTTTAGTCAATTTCTGGCCAGTTGTTACCAGTGGTTGAGATTGAAATGTTCTGGATCAATGTATAATATCAGCTCTTAAATGTTTTGTTTAATTTCAAAGTTTGATAATGGAAAGGGAAACAAACACTATGTGCTGGAATCTCATTCTGCTTTTCAGAACAACCACCATAAAACAGAGCAAAGCAAAAACAAAACAAATACTGGTTTCGCCCATTCAGTTTATTCGGAGCTGGAAAGTTCCAGGAAGGCTGGCGGGGCCCCTGTCTGTCATATTCCTTCCTATCCTAATCTCATTCCCACATTCTGATTTTTCCGGTCCTCAGAAAGAGGTGTTGGCATTCAGCAACCCCCATACATCAAAGCTTTACCTAATATATGATGTGTTTATTCTTCCCAGCCACAGGGCATATCACTCTCAAATGACTGACAACAACTCTAAAATGAAGTGGGCCCAAAGTGGGCTCTAATAGTTACGGGAAGCTTCTCTAGTCAAACATAAAGCAAATTAATGTGAGCCCCCTCCTGCACCTTCAGTCTGGAAATGTCATAAAGGAATAAGCATGGAGACCCTCACAATGTCAAGGACTGGATTTCAATAGATTTACATATTAAAGGCACAGGACACATTTCGTTTGCTCTAACATCAAATTTGTAAGTTTCTAAATTATAACTTCTTTATTTTAAAAATCAGTTCTTATTGTGGGCTGAATGCACAGATGAGTAATGATATAAATGCAATTGTGCATCTATTTCACCCATCATAGTTTAATTTTAAAGGGCGAATTAAGCAAAGACTTAGAAACAACTTGTACGGCTATGAATTACCCGTATTTCTATGGTGTCAGAATGTGTTTGTGTGTATGTATGTGTATCTCAAGACTGCTGTAGAGAAACAAATGGGTGAAGGAAATAGAGAAAAGAACAGTATGTATTGACAACAAATTTTTAGTTAATCCTGATTTTGCCTTACTCAGTGCCAGGGAAAGTGCTCAAGAGGAATGCTGTTGATAGACTCCATTGTTGTTTTGCTGTAGGAGACTTAAAACAGCAAAGTCAACATTTTTTTTTTTTTTCAATCTTTGAACTTCTAATATCCTAAAATATCAAGTCTAAAAATATATCACAAAGCCATCTACTCTGTGATTAGACTTCTGGAGAAGAGATAAGCCTTTGTGTCCCTGATCATCGGCTTGCTTGGGTAAATTCCTTTGTTCTCTGGTTATGTTCGAGATGCCTTTCCTACCATGTCGGTCATCAGACTAACCAAGTAAGTTACCAGTATGCCGTATGAACACAAGTCATGCATATGCACATTTGTACACATTTTCTGTTTCTCTCTCTCACGTGTGTGTGTGTGCGTGCACAAACACACAAGTTTTGCTTGTTTCCTCTGAAAGCAATAAAAAACAACTGAGCACTGTGTATAAAACGGGGAATATACATGAGCACACAAGAAGATTTTGTTTTGTTTTTTAGTTGCTGCCAGGATATCCTAGCAGAATTATTTCTTTCACATTTCAAGTCAGCTTATGAATAAGGTGCAAGGTAAGCTTTCTTCTGAGTGAATATAAGGCAATTTAATCTCTTATTAAAGAAACTGAGTAAGGTTT